TCTGTTACAATGACTAAAGTTAGATGGAAGGGAATTCAAAGACTATGAGGTGTTATCTCAGTTTACCAAAGAAAGTTCTCTAATCCAGGCAGCCAAACCTCAGAATCTAGACGTTCTGAGCTAGAGATGAGTATTTTCCCCTAAGTCAAAAGAATATAGTTGGAATTGCTAATTACCTTCGCTCAAATTCATCACCTCCTAAATACAAACAAAAGCGGTGAAATATATTTTCTATCTGTTCACAAGGAACAGTTCATTCACGAGAACGGAATTAGCCTTTTTCAAAAGGCTTCTCTGGGAGGTGGAGCTCAGCAGTGGCTCAGGGGTGGCTCCGAGGTACAGAGATCGCGTGAAATATGTTTTCTATCTGTTCACAAGGAACAGTTCACTCACGAGAACGGAATTAGCCTTTTTCAAAAGGCTTCTTTGGGAAGCGGAGCTCAGCAGTGGCTCAGGGGTGGCTCCAAGGTACAGAGATGGCCTGCCAATGTGGGAGATACCGGTTTGATCCCTGCTCGGGGAAGATCCCACATGCCTCGGAGCAAACAAGCCCATGCGCCACAGCTACTGAGCCTGTGCTCTAGAGCCCGGGAACCGCAACTACTGAAGGCCACGCACCCAAGCGCCTGTGCTCCACAACAAGAGGAAGCACTGCAGTGAGAAGCCCCTGCATTCGACTGGAGAGTAGCCCTGGCTCACCACAGCTCGAGAAAGCCCGTAAAGCAATAAAGACCCAGCACAGTCAAAAATACATAAAATTGTAAGAAAAAAAAATGGGCTTCTCTGGTGTAGACTTATTCATTTCGAAGAAGGAAAAATTTGAGTACTTTATTTTCAGATACTGTGGCCACCTCTTAAGACTAGAGTTATAATTTATGGAGAAAAAAAAAACATTTCAAATAGGGCTGGTCTAGTAGGAGAATGAATGCCAGGCTACGTGTGATTAAAGCTAGGTTCTTGTACAAATCTGATCAGCTCTCTGAACCTTGAGAAGGCATTTTCTTTCTCTATGTCTCAGTTTCCCCATCTATATGATGTGTTGTTTAGTTGCTAAGTCATGTCCAACACTTTTGTGACCCCATGGACTATAGTTTGCCAGGCTCTTCTGTCCATGGGATTTCCCAGGCAAGAATACTGGAGTGGGTTGCCATTGCCTTCTCTCGGGGATCTTCCTGACCCAGGGACTGAACCCTGTCTCCTGCAGTGGTGGGCGGGTTCTTTACCACTGAGCCACCAGGGAAATCCATCTCTCTACATGACAGAGGATTGGATGGGTTGACCCTGAAGCTCAATCCCAGTTTTGAGACGTTGTCGTTGAAAAAATTGCAGACTATAGCATGTTATGAGGCATTGTGGCCTCAACCAAAGAAATTCATCTCTCTGACCTACAGTTTCCTCATTTCAAGAGCATACGGGGTGGATTAGTTATCTTTAAGGACACTTCTGCTGTGTATAATCCAATGAATTAAAAATGTGCGGGGAAAATCTGAAAGGATGCACAGAGGAAAGCTTACCCAGCCTGGCCACTTGGTGGTGATATTGTTCCACATTAAGAAAGATTTTCTAGCCTTTTCCAATCGTGCCAAAGTTTGAGTTAACTAAGCATAGTGAAGATAGATTTTCCAAAGGATACTGAAATAAAATCAGGTCAGCAAAAAGAAAAAAAAAAAAAAAAGAAAATATCAACCCAGAATTATGGAGGAATGACAATAAACAGCAATGCCAAATAAGGGACATAAAATCTCTATAGTCAAGGCAGTAAAAAACATAGAGGGGGATGTGAGAGTTGTGTTTTGGGCATTATTATTATTATGTTTTGGGGGGGCATTATTTAAAGGAATAGAGGGAGAGGAGTACATTGTAAATTTATATAGTTTTTGAAAAACATAGTTTAAAAGTTAACTCTAACATTTAAAGATTTAACTTGTAAAATAACCCAATACCTTCCAACTGCACCAGAAGATAAAAATCTAAACCTACAAAATCTAAACCAAATAAGTGAGTGTCTTATTTCTTCTGTCTAAATCTAAAAGAAACACATAAGGGAGTTGTAATCCTGTTCCAATATTTTAATATAAAATAAAAGGAATGAATCTACAAGTTTCGCGCTTTTCCACATTTTATAGGAGAATGTGATTCTATCAGGCTACCTTTGTTTAATCACTAAGTCATGCCTGACTTTTTTGTAGCCCCATGGACTGCAGCCCTCCAGCCTTCTCTGTCCATGGGGTTTCCCAGGCAAGAACTGGAGTGGGTTGCCATTTCCTTCTCCAGGGGTCTTTCCCACCCAGGAATTAAACCTGCCTGTCCTGCATTTCAGGCAGATTATTTACCACTGAGCTGCCTGGGAAACCCCATCAGGCTACCGAGCTTACCTTAAAAACCTTTGGCTTCTTTGGGAAGCGGAGCTCAGCAGTGGCTCAGGGGTGGCTCCAAGGTACAGAGATGGCCTGCCAATGTGGGAGATACCGGTTTGATCCCTGCTCGGGGAAGATCCCACATGCCTCGGAGCAAACAAGCCCATGCGCCACAGCTACTGAGCCTGTGCTCTAGAGCCCGGGAACCGCAACTACTGAAGGCCACGCACCCAAGCGCCTGTGCTCCACAACAAGAGGAAGCACTGCAGTGAGAAGCCCCTGCATTCAACTGGACAGTAGCCCTGGCTCACCACAGCTCGAGAAAGCCCGTAAAGCAATAAAGACCCAGCACAGTCAAAAATACATAAAATTGTAAGAAAAAAAAATGGGCTTCTCTGGTGTAGACTTATTCATTTCGAAGAAGGAAAAATTTGAGTACTTTATTTTCAGATACTGTGGCCACCTCTTAAGACTAGAGTTATAATTTATGGAGAAAAAAAAAACATTTCAAATAGGGCTGGTCTAGTAGGAGAATGAATGCCAGGCTACGTGTGATTAAAGCTAGGTTCTTGTACAAATCTGATCAGCTCTCTGAACCTTGAGAAGGCATTTTCTTTCTCTATGTCTCAGTTTCCCCATCTATATGATGTGTTGTTTAGTTGCTAAGTCATGTCCAACACTTTTGTGACCCCATGGACTATAGTTTGCCAGGCTCTTCTGTCCATGGGATTTCCCAGGCAAGAATACTGGAGTGGGTTGCCATTGCCTTCTCTCGGGGATCTTCCTGACCCAGGGACTGAACCCTGTCTCCTGCAGTGGTGGGCGGGTTCTTTACCACTGAGCCACCAGGGAAATCCATCTCTCTACATGACAGAGGATTGGATGGGTTGACCCTGAAGCTCAATTCCAGTTTTGAGACGTTGTCGTTGAAAAAATTGCAGACTATAGCATGTTATGAGGCATTGTGGCCTCAACCAAAGAAATTCATCTCTCTGACCTACAGTTTCCTCATTTCAAGAGCATACGGGGTGGATTAGTTATCTTTAAGGACACTTCTGCTGTGTATAATCCAATGAATTAAAAATGTGGGGGGAAAATCTGAAAGGATGCACAGAGGAAAGCTTACCCAGCCTGGCCACTTGGTGGTGATATTGTTCCACATTAAGAAAGATTTTCTAGCCTTTTCCAATCGTGCCAAAGTTTGAGTTAACTAAGCATAGTGAAGATAGATTTTCCAAAGGATACTGAAATAAAATCAGGTCAGCAAAAAGAAAAAAAAAAAAAAAAGAAAATATCAACCCAGAATTATGGAGGAATGACAATAAACAGCAATGCCAAATAAGGGACATAAAATCTCTATAGTCAAGGCAGTAAAAAACATAGAGGGGGATGTGAGAGTTGTGTTTTGGGCATTATTATTATTATGTTTTGGGGGGGCCTTATTTAAAGGAATAGAGGGAGAGGAGTACATTGTAAATTTATATAGTTTTTGAAAAACATAGTTTAAAAGTTAACTCTAACATTTAAAGATTTACCTTGTAAAATAACCCAATACCTTCCAACTGCACCAGAAGATAAAAATCTAAACCTACAAAATCTAAACCAAATAAGTGAGTGTCTTATTTCTTCTGTCTAAATCTAAAAGAAACACATAAGGGAGTTGTAATCCTGTTCCAATATTTTAATATAAAATAAAAGGAATGAATCTACAAGTTTCGCGCTTTTCCACATTTTATAGGAGAATGTGATTCTATCAGGCTACCTTTGTTTAATCACTAAGTCATGCCTGACTTTTTTGTAGCCCCATGGACTGCAGCCCTCCAGCCTTCTCTGTCCATGGGGTTTCCCAGGCAAGAACTGGAGTGGGTTGCCATTTCCTTCTCCAGGGGTCTTTCCCACCCAGGAATTAAACCTGCCTGTCCTGCATTTCAGGCAGATTATTTACCACTGAGCTGCCTGGGAAACCCCATCAGGCTACCGAGCTTACCTTAAAAACCTTGGGGTGATTGCTCTGGGAGTTAATGAACTGCACTGGTATCTGCTAGGCTTCAAGTCAAGGTCCATTTCTGTGGAGATAAATGAGCATCGGTAGGAATTCAGGGAAGGATAAAGGCTTCCTGATCACAGCGCTGCCCACCTCTATCTCTAGAAAAGGTTATATTCAAAAGAACAATCTCCCCAGTAAAGCATCAGTGAACGTGAAGGGACTTGTGGAAGAGGGCAACAAGGGAGAGATGGAGAAACTTGACTCTTGCCTAAATCCTCCTCCCTCCCAAATAGCGCACGTGGTGTCTTGCACCGTAAGCTGAGAGATGGAAGGAGGAGGTCCAGCCCTCGCCCGCCGTTTTCCTCCACCGACCCCTCTGCCTGCCTTCTCTGGTTTTCTCCTTGTTCTCCTGGTGAGGTGGACACCAGTTTCTTCTGAAGGCTGAAGCGTGGGGCCTCGCGACTCTGGTTGCCATGGTGTCTTCTTTTCTCCCCCTTCCTTTGATACATTAGCTATTAGCTTACATAATCCTCTCACAGGAGGATGTCCCTATTCAAAAGAAAAAAAAAGTTAAATTGCTAAGTAACCTTTAACAATGAATAGCATTCATTATGCATTTGCTTAATGATACAGAGGCATTGTTTGCTCTATTTCAGGTGATAACAGCAGATCAAAGGCACCAAGACCAGAATGTACTTTCGAAGAGCCAGCTGAGGCTGTGTGGAAATAATGCTTAGCATTTATGTCGCACTTTAGACTCTCAAAGGATTCTACAATTATTAATTAATTATCCCACACAATAGCTCTAGGAGGAAGGTCAGTGTCATTAGCTCTATTTTTACAGATGAAGAATCAGATAGCAGTTCAGTGATTCTCCCCGCTCCCCAACATTTAAAGATCTCATGTCAAAGTAGACTCGGGTAGGGGGTGCAGGTAGATTATGAAGTGGCTGAAGGCTAAACATACCAGAGCTGCCCCTAGTGGGGGTTTCGCTTCCTTTGATCTGTCTTTCGAAAACCCTCTGAACAGAATTATGTTCTGGGCTTCTGCCCTGCTTCCTCGTGGCTCCTCCTGTGTCCTTGTCTTTTCTATTGGGTTTGCTAAAAACATCTTACAGATGTAAAACGCATGGGAAAACAACAATCCATGTTGTTTTCTATGTAATTTCCTTTCGTTCATGAATCTTAATCGGGTACTTAATGTAGTTGATATGGGCAGGAATAATGGAAATGGACAACAGCTGACTTTTCAAATGATTCCTGCTTTCACGCACACACACAGTTAGCTGACACTCGTTTCTGTTCATGAGGGCCGTGGAGACAAAAAATTCTTGCTATCTGGTCCTGTCCAAAATCTTTGGGCACAATGGGAAGGAATTACCCCNCAGGGGAGAGGAGGTATAAATAAGGTGCCCTGAATATTGGTTATTTCACCTTTTTTGCCTTGAGTGAGTGGTGAGTGTGTGTGTGTTCAATTGTGTCCAACTCTTTGCAACCCCAGACTGTAGTCCACCAGGCTCCTCTGTCCATGGCATTTTCCAGACAAGAATACTGGAGTGGGAAGCCATTCCCTTCTCCAGGGAATCTTCATGACTCAGGGACTGAACTCATGTCTTCTGTGTCTCCTGCATTGGCAGGTGGATTCTTTACCACTGAGCCACCTGGGAAGTCCTTTTTGCCTTAGGCTAGGCCTTCTATTGGCTAATCTGATAAGCTCATATTCTGCGGTGTTTTAATTATTTGTGTGAATGGCTTCCTTTTTTTATAGAACTACAAGCAGTTTGAAAACAGAGACTAATTCTCATTGCTCGTGTTATTGCAGGAAATAATGCGCTGAGTGCTAAGTGCTTTACAATGCTGGTTTTACTTCAGCCTCACAATGACTTTTGAGGTAGGTATTGTTTTTATCCTTTAACAGTTGAGGAAAGAGACTAAGAAAACTTAAGTAATCTGCTCAAAGCCACGTGTTTCTTTTAGTCATTTTAAAGGAATTTAGTGAACTATGCTTTGTGCTAAGCACAAGAATCCAAATAGTGAGCAAAACAGACATGGTCACTCCCTATTTTTGACTTTCTGTCCACTAGGGAAGGCAGATGTTAATCAACTGATAATTGTATGTGTGCATGCGTGCGTGCATGCTAAGTTTCTTCAGTTGTGTCCGACTCTTTGTGACCCCATGAAACTATAGGCTGCCAGGCTCCTCTGTCCATGGGCTTCTCCAGGCAAGAATCCTGGAGTGGGTTGCCATTTCCTAGTCCTCCAGGGGATCTTCCCAGGGATTGAACCCACACCTCCTGTGTCTTCTGCATTGACAGGCAGATTCTTTACCACTGAGCCACCTGGGAAGCCCTCCTGTGATAAAGACCATGAAAGAAAAACAAAAGGTTGAATATAGGAGAAACTAGCAGAGGGTAACTGATCTGATCAGCAGCCAGTGGGGGCAGGGACAGATAAGGGGGAAAGGTCAAGGTCAAGAAGGCACATCTGGAGGCTCTGATGCTTGAGGTGAGTTTTGAAAGGTAAGGAGGTGTTAAGGAGGACAAAGTGAACAGCTTGTGCAAAGGGCTTTCATGTGGGAGGGGGTTGAGAACCTCTGAGAATCTGAACCAGGTCTGCTGAGTAGAAGGGGCGGGGCGTGTCAAGCAGGAAAGTTGACTGGGGAAGGAGGTGGGACCTGACATTGGATGACCTCGTAGGCTAGGGTAGAATTTGATGTCGAGGAACAATAGACATTCCAAGGTTGTAAGTAAATACCTGATTTTGATGAGATGAAAATGGGGAGAATAAATTGGAGAGGAGTCAGAATATAAAAAGGGAGACTGGAGAAGAGGGGCTTACAGTAACTCTAGTGTGAGATGATGGTGAGACCAGGGTGACAGTGGTAGAGATGGTGAGGAAACAGGCTAGTTTGTGAGATATTTGGAAAATAATTTCATGGCTCTTAGGATGGTTGGGAAGAGGTGGGGTGGTGAGGGAAAGTGATTCCCGGGGTCCTGGCTTGGACAAGTGAATGCCTGGAGAAGGATACTGGAGGGGACCAAGGGTTCGGGGGGTAGTTTTTGAGTAAGCGGCAGAGGCAGAATTGGAATCTAAATCTGCTTCTCATCAAACTGTGCTGTCTCCCCACACCAAGCACATGTTTTTGGAGATCCAGTATTTAATTGCACTTCTGGCTTGCTCCCCGTGGTCAGCTTCCATTGCCATTGCTGTCACCTTCTGGAAGAACACACTTCACCTTTGTGGCCCAGTTGGTGACATCAGTGAAAGAAGTGTCCAGCCAGGCAGGAACCCAAAGGAGGCCCTTTTTAAAGAGGGGAGACCTGCAATTTCCCAAACCCTGCAGTTCAGCAGTTAGGCAAGAAGGCTGTGTCTCAAAGTGTTAGAATTTGACTCTTGCCTTCATAACTTGCTATCTCTGACACTGAGAAAATTATTTAACATCTCTAAGCCTCTCTTTCCTCATGTGTGAAGAGGGAAAAATAATAGTATCTTCTCCATCATACTGCTGGAGGCATCAGGGCTGCTGCTAACTGACAGAACCATCTTGGCATAAATTAGAGAAAGCTTTCCATTCTCAAGTAAAACATCTTTTTGAAGTTAGTATGTTATATATTTCTCATTAATTACAGTGATGCAAACATAAAATAATTGTGAATAAATAATAGAAATCAAATTATTAAACATAATACATGATTTGAATTTTTAATCACAATAATTAGAAAATTACATTTAAAAATAAGAGATAGGTTTCTATTTTATGTATGGTATTGTAAATTTCCATGTTACTCTCTCCATACATGATGCTGAAAGAAATTTTTTTAAAATGTTAAGATTCTAATCAGTTCTTCAGTGAGAAAAGTAACTTCTTATTTATAAATACAGGTTATTTTGAATGTTGTTATATTTTCAAGATATTTTAATAATCAACATGTTTTTATTTCATAAGTTCAATCAGAAAGTGATAATATATCAATCTTATTGAAGAGAGACTTTTTATATAGTCATCTGCCACAAAACTCATTCATCTCTGAAGTTAACAAAGTTATGATAAAAATACACAAAAAAAATTTACAGAATCTTAAGATGGCTATGATGTGATAGTTTCCTTGAATGTGCCACTTTTGGCAGTGTGCAACCTAAACCACATAGGTAGTGCTTTGGGGCAGGCTTGCAAGAGATAATTTTAGAGAGTTTTTAGCGTTCATAGGAACTATCCTACATAGAGTGGTCAGTGTTAGTTTTTAATTTTTAGTTATTTAACCTACCCAGTAGTTGAGGTGCTATGGGATTAAAATGCTCTTGCCCAAGTCTTAGTTCCCTTTATGACTAGTGAGTGAGTGAGTGAGTGAAAGTCACTCAGTCATGTCCAATTCTTTGTGACCCCATGGACTATACAGTTCATGGAATTCTCTAGGCCAGAATATTGTAGTGGGTAGCCTTTGGCTTCTCCAGGAGATCTTCCCAACCCAGCAATCAAATCCAGGCAGGCAGATTCTTTATCAGCTTAGCCACAAGGGAAGCCCAAGAATACTGGAGTGGGTAGCCTATCCCTTCTCCAGGGGATCTTCCCAATTCAGGAATTGAGCCAGGGTCTCCTGCATTGCAGGAAGATTCTTTACCAACTGAACTATTAGGGAAGCCCTTTGACTTGTAGTGAATGCAAATCATCAGTTTGGATACTGCTGTTTAAAGAGTGATGCTCAACTAAATTGCATAAAAATTTGCTCAGTTGACTCCATTTCTTCCCTGCACCAGCACTGCATTTCAGCAGGTTTAACTGTAATTATGGAATGTGTGGTCTTTGTTATCAGTTGATCGCTTGGTCTCAGATTCACTCCAGAGAAAAATTCACATTGTGGTTTGTTTCAACATTCTGCTTTAGTTCTCCTAATGGCAGCAGGCTGGGAAAGGAACCCCAACGCTGACTGCTAGAATATAAATAACCCGTAGCCTCAGTGGGTATTCTATATATACAGGGATAGTCAAGGGAAAGAAGTGGGAGTTCTTTAATGCTCAGAGGTAAGTATATTTAAAGAAAACATAAAAATAGAACCCTGTGATGTGATTTAAAATGATTTAGGAGAAAAAAGGAGCCAAAGGTATGGGAGAGATGTTTAGATAGAGAAGATTTAGCTAAAAAGCTTCCCTTATGATCAGGAGACTATGAAAACGTGAAGGAAAGGAAGCAGCAGGAAGTGATGTGGGGAAGGTCAGGGGCACGGGTTTGGGAAGCAGTGCAGCAGATAAAAATGAAAACTGAAAGCTGAAATTTAAGGTTGAAGGCGTGAGAATGAGGTGAAAATAGAGAAACAAGTTGAAGTCAATCATGACATTTCTACCCACTGAGGTGGATGGTGTGGATCCGGGAGCTTCTGCAGGATGTTGGAAGAAAGAGAACTAATTGAAGAGAGACAAAGTTCCTCCATTTTGGTTTTATTTGCTTTATTTTTAAAAAGCTACTTTGTTTTAAAGACAGTGTAGGTATTTTCAAAGGTCTTTGTATTTTTAAAGAAAAATATCATAGCGATTCAAAGCATCAATAGTTATATAGGGTTAATTACGGGCATATTTACAAGAAAGATAGACTTGGGAGAGAAAACAGTAGACCCAAAGTGAAGCCATAGGAAGAATCTTTTAAGAAAGGTAAGAGGTGATTGCCGTAATGTGTAATAACACTGCTAGAGAGAAGCAGAGAGAGAGAGACTGGGAAACAATGAGAAGCCTAAACTCTGAGAAAGTGAAATCACCAACAATGGGAACATTTTTTATATTGTAAATATGGATTTCCAAACTTGTGTATCTGTTGATATCTGTAAAATCAAGAATAATTAAATCAGGTAAGGGCAAACATTTTCCTGCAAAGTAGTAAATATTCTGTCACCTAGAAATATTTTAGGCTTTGTGCACCATAAAGGGTCTGTTGTAACTACTTAACTGCCATTGTAGATGGAGAGCAGTCATGGAAATATGTCAACAGCTAAGGGTGTCTATGTTCCAATAAAACTTTATTCACAAAAACAGAAGCTGGGCTGGATTTGGCCTTGGGTGAACTCCGGGAGTTGGTGATGGACAGGGTAGGTCTGGCGTGCTGCGGTTCATGGGGTTGCAAAGAGTCGGACACGACTGAGTGAATGAACTGAACTGAACTGATAGTGTGTTGATCCCTGATCTAAGGAGTTTAATCCCCTCATTTCCAGATGAGATTTGGAAATCCAGAGCATTTCGGGAAGCTACCCCAAGCATCACAGCTCAGTAGTAGGGAGTTCAAATGGAAAATAAGAAGTATTTAGGTATATGCTAATTTTGCAGAGATCCTAATCTTTTAAAGCAAAACAATACTCAGTTGCACTGAAATCACATCTCTCATACATGTTTAAGTGCTTTGCTCTGGATAATTGAAGCTTCTAAGTAGCTGGGAGGTCTTATTCTTGAACCAAATTCTTTCCATGTTTATTATTTTGAACTGATCATCTTTCTAAGATCTATTATATATGGCCACACCTTTAAAAACAGCGTATAATTAACCTTAAAAGAAGATTAAAGTTTGACTTTTGAAACCAATTTTAGAAATAAGAAGCCCATTCCCTGGTGGCTCAGTGATGAATCTGCCTGTCAGTGCAGGAGACACTGGTTCAATCCCTGGTCGGGGAAGATCCTACCTGCCTTGAAGCCACTAGGCCCATGCACCACAACTCTTGAGCCTGTGCTCTAGAGCTCAATATCCACAACTACTGAAGCCTTCACACCCTAGAGGCCAGGCTCTGCAACAAGAGAAGCCACCGCAGTGAGAAGCCCTCACATCGCAACTAGAGAGTAGCCACCACTCTTGGCAACTAGAAAAAAGTCTGTGCCGCAGTGAAGACCCAGCACAGTCAAAAGTAAAAATAAAAA